GGGAGGGTGGAGGACACGGGGGGAACCGGCAGGATGGGGGTACTTACCTCCTCCTGCTGCTTCCTCCTCTGCCTCCCCCCCGCGAGTATCGTGGGTCCCACCCCTTTACTTATCTAATTCCCTCCTGAAGCTGTCCATGCTTGTAGCCGCCACCACCTCCTGTGGCAGTGAATTCCATGTGTTAATCACTCTTTGGGTGAAGAAGGACTTCCTTTTATCCGTTCTAACCCGACCGCTCAGCAATTTCATGGAGTGCCCACGAGTTCTTGTATTGTGAGAAAGGGAGAAAAGTACCTCTTTCTCTACCTGCTCTATCCCATGCGTAATCTTATAAACCTCAATCATGTCACCCCTCAGTCGTCGTTTCTCCAAGCTAAAGAGCCATAAATGCTTTAACCTTTCCTCATAGGGAAAGTGTTCCAACCCTTTTATCATTCGAGTTGCCCTTTTCTGCACTTTTCCCAAAGCTATAATATTCCTTTGCAAGGTGTTTTGCTTTCTTACCTTTACATCTCCAAACAAGACAGGGAAATCGTGGGTGCCAGTCCCGAGAGCAAAGTGATACAAGATGTCCTCTTTCATCTTCTCAAAGTGAGGGTTCGGAATGTGAACGGAGGATTCCCTGCCAGCATAGATGGGGATGAGTTCATAGCACAGAAACAGCTATAGTTAAAAGATTAGTGCAGGGGTCCCCAAGTTTTTTTGTGCCCATGGGCACCTTTGGAAGTCCAACACAGCATAGTGGAGGCAGCCCCAAAATGGCTGCCACAGGAGGTGAAGCCAGCCACAAAATGGCTGCCACAGGAGGTGAAGCCAACCACAAAATGGCTGCCACAGGAGGTGAAGCCAGCCACAAAATGGCTGCCGTAGCTTACCATCAGTCACACAGTGAAGATCCTCATGTTGTGGTGGCAGCTGCTGCTGAAGCAACATTTTAAACAATCTGCACAGCCAATGAAATCTCCAGTAGCCAGTCAGAAGCCTTGCTAGGCAAAAGCTCCATTAGGCACCCCCCATCCACGTTCTAAAAACACTTGGTGGGCACTGTGAAAGGTGTTTTCAGGCACCACGGCACCCATGCGGGCCACGTTGGGGACACCCGGATTACAGCATTCGTCGGTTACTTATCTATTCACAGGTTGCATACCCAACCTTTCTACCATTAACTTAGGCTTGCCAAGTCCCCGCCCCAGAGGCCCGTTCTTCGCCGCCGGCGGATTGGGCCCCAGGGGGAACTCCACTCCGATGTGCACATCACCTGGAAGTGACGCAGGCACGCCAGGCACGCTGGGGGCGGGGCCACGGTCATCCAAGGGCACTCTATGGGAAAACTCTATGGTGGAGCACGTGCGCGCTCCAGCCGCCAGCCGGGAGTCCCCCGCTGCAGCTAAATTTACACTTGGCAATCCTACATTAACTCCCCAGGTGGTTTGCATAGCAAGATTAAAATACAATGATTCATGATAAAGACCCAAAGAATGATAAAGCCTCCCAGAAAGCATACAGCAAAAACAGCAACAAAGAAAACCCCATGGATGCCATCAACCAGGGCCAGCCCTAGATTCATGACCAACCCAGCTTGATAATGCTGATTGTGATTCTGGCTTCTGGTTTGGACTCCGCGAATGGCGGACGCATCTTCGGGACGCTCCCCACGCGCGGCCAAGGGGGGGAATCCGCACAAGTGGAGACCCTAAGGAACCCCAGGAAGGGGTTCCGATCCAGGGCGCACAGGGGATGTGCCTCTTTCCCGGCTGGATGGTCGGAAATTGAGGCTCGCCCCATGCCCCAATGGCCCTAGCTGCGGCAGTGCCCCGCACAGGGACTAGCGGAGCCGCCGGTCGTCACCGGGTGATAAAGCGGATGAGCGTTTAAAAGAAGATTTTCGGCTAAAACTGTGAGTTGCCAGTCGGAACGGGAGAAAAAGAATCGAAGCGCAATCCCCCCCTTTCGAAAAAAAGCAAGGGAGGAGGGAGGGAATTCCCCCCCACCCCGTGTTACAAAGACTGATTTAACAGGAGAAGGGGGGGGGTGAAAGTTGAAAGAAGCAGTGGTACCTCATGGTGATTTGTTAGAAGAGACGCAGGAAGTTTCATTTCTTGGCTGCGTGGCACGAACTTTTAAAAAATAAACAAAGAAGCAAGATGTCGGGCCAGAAAAAGTTTCAGGACAAGCCGGCAAAGAAGCTGGGAGAAACTTCCGGTGCTGGCTCCCGCCTCTTAGAGCCGGCTGTCAATCAACAGGAGAGCGATCTTCTGCGCCCCCTGCTGGAGCAAATGCAAAAGATCAACCAAACATTGACTAGTATGGAAAGTGTTCTCAGCAATCAGCAGGTCCAGTTAAATGATACAGCTAAGAAAATGGAGGAAATTGCGCAAAAATGCCTGGTCTCAACAGAAGATACTCAAAAGGTCAAGAAAAAGGTGGATAAAATAGAAAAACATCAAGACATGCAAGATAAAAAGTTATTGGTGCTTCAAATGGAAAAATCAAACTTGACTCTCCGATTTCAGGGCATAAAAGAATTGGAAAAAGAGGATCTCCGAAGCATTTTAGCGGAAGCCTTGGCAACACTCACCAGCTGGGAAGCAGAAAAAATAAGCAAGGAAATGGATCTGGTCTATAGGTCCTATTCCAACTTTACAAGGTTGAACAACCTGCCGGATAAAGTGGTGGTCAAGTTTACAAAGCAGAAAGTTCGGGATCAAATATTAAAAGCATCTTCATCAACGCCCATGAAGATTGGAGAGCAGAAAATTAGGATCTTGAAAGACGTTCCATTTGAAATCCGAATGAAAAGGAAAGCGTATAAAGGACTGACCTTATTCTTGCAGAACCATCAAATTAGTTATCGCTGGTTGATTCCAGAAGGACTTACCTTCAAGTTTAAGGATAAAAGAGAGAAGATTGACTCCATTTTCAAAGCTCAAGACTTTTTGAAGAGACACGCCAGCTCGGAGGAGGCAGCACTCGCCAAATGGGAGGAATTGGATAGTGACAGAGACAGCGGCTCGGAGGGGGAAGTCAAGACCCCGGAAGATAAAGGAGCGGGAAAGGGTCCATTATATAATCTGAGAGACGTGAAAGGGAGATTGCCCAAACCATGAAGACCAGTTCGCAAAGCACAAGAAAAAGACTTTACTAACAAAAACCAGAGGGACACTACTAATTCATTAACAGTTTTTGGGTTTTGTACAGGTTAAGATGAAAGACGATTGACAACTCGCAGAAGAAGCCAAAAGAAGATTTGTTGATTACTAATAAAAGACTAACATACTAATGACAGTATCACCCAACCTTTTCTTTATCCCACTATATACCTCCCCCTTTCTTATATGAAAAAACAGAAACTCTCTCCTTTTTAGGAGAGTTAATAAATAAAAAAGATAATGCTGATTGTGATTCTCACTTGGATGTCTGCTTGCCTTCTCCCTTCTTCTCCGCTCGGCCACCTGGAACCATAACTGTACTTTGTTAGGATCCTGAGGATGAAAGTGCAGGAGCTGGCGTGAAAGCACCAGATGGGACATACATACAAACCGATAAACAAGCAAAATGAGAACTAAAACATCCTGGGGGAAGCATCGAAGCTGCACATTATAGGGTCGGAATGCTCTAAGCCCTCAGCTCCATGAAATGCATACTGGATCCGTTATGTATTGAGCCTGAGCCATCCCTGACTGTGGACCTTGAACTGGGTGAGCTTGCTCCCCAAGAACAATAGCTGACCAGGATCCTGGAATTGACCTATAGATAAGCAGTGTCATGTAAATAGCTCGTCCTTGGGAGTGGGTGTTTGTGGGGTGGGGTGTTTGCATGCTTTATAAGCAGGGCTCAAACCCTGCTGGGTGTCCTTGCTGTGTTCCTGAAATCACTAAATAAACTAGAGCTGATTACTGCAATGTGTCCAGAACCCAGTATTTAACATCTTCATATGCCTGAAAGCCCTAACACACACCAGTTTTTTTAAAGAGGTGGGAGTGGATGCAAAGGAAGTTCACAAGCAAATACAACATCTAGAGATGAGTAGTCCTTGTGAACATTTGATCCAGTGCTACAGATAGACAGCCGAGGTGCACGCACATGTGAATGAGCCCATTATAATCATATAAACATAGGGTTGCCAACCTCCAGGAGGTGGCTGGGAAAGGCTGGAGATCCCTTGGAATTACAACCAATGCTCCCTCTAAACTGTGGAGCCTTGTGAGCAACAATTCTACGTTGTGCACTACTGGCATTAAAGTTGTGAGGGAGCGATTTGGATACTGCATCAATTAGTTTGCTCTGGAGCCACCCCTTCCTGAGCGAAGACAAAAATGTGTGAGTCGGAGGCTAAAGAACGGTGAGCTGGCTCACACTAACTCAGCTTAGAGGGAACACTGATTACAACTGATCTCCGGGCATTTGAGAACTGTTCGCCTGGAGAAAACGGCTGCTTTGGGAGGAGGCCCCATAGCCAGGATTTTTTTCTAATTTTTTTGGGGGGGGGGGCTTTAAATAAGTCAGGGGGCACTGAAATAATAGTAAAAAAAAACCCCAAGGTACAATGGCTGGCCTCTGCCCCAGCAGATCTTCCCGTGCGCAGCAACAGGGCGAGGGGGCAGGGGAGCAAGCACCAACGCACCCTGGAAGCCAAGCTGGCCTCCGCCGGCACACCGGCTGGGCACCCAGGCACAGGAGGAGGAGGCAGAGGAGGAAGAGGCCCCCCAGCCCGGATCTGCTGGCCTTGGCCATGCTGTGCTCCTGCCCCGGCCCAAGTTAGGGAGTCTCCTAGCCGGAGCCCAGGCCCAATTGGCATGAGGCAAGGGGGAGAAGGCATAGGTGGTGGGGTCCCAGGTGGGGGCTAGGGCTGCCAAGTCCCCCCAGGGGGCTAGGAAACCCCCACCCCAGAGGCCCGTTCCCTGCTGCCGGCGGATCGGGCCCCGGGGGGAACCCCACCCCGGCGTCCGCATCACCAGGAAGTGACGTTATGACGCCGGGCACGCTGGGGGCGGGGCCACGACCATCCGAGGGGGAAACTCTATGTTTCCGCCCCCAGAATCTCCAGATATTTCCCAGTCTGGAGCGGGCAACCCTAACAAATATGTTATGGGATAGACTCAGGGCCAGTTCACATGGTACAAAGTCCTCATGTACACCACATGTCCAGCACAGGTCTTATCAACTAGACATGCTTTAGGAATTCTGTGTCTGGAACATGCTCCCTAGCTGCCTGAGGGCCCAATCCAGGTCAGGACCGTAGCAGCAAGAAGTGGGCCTGAAACATTTGTCTCATACCCTTTTCTGGACCTGACGTGGCTGTGAGGGGCTAATATTTGTACCACTGGGAAAATTGACCCACACACAAATTTCCACAGCAGGGCACATAGTAGTAGGGGTGTCAATCATGCAGCCCGAGGGCCGGATCAGGCCCGCCGTGGAACTGGCCATCTCCTCCTTCCAGTGCCGCTGCTGCATCACAGCTCGCTTCGCCAGACGCTCTTAGTCACTCAGCCATTTCATGTTTTAACCTGGGTCCACCTAGACTCAGAACTCTGAGCATGAGATTTCTGTGGTGAATGTCGATAAATCAAAAGCAGGTTTGCAGCTTACAGATACACACCTGAACAGCATACTCAAGATTGCAGCAGCACAGACATTTTGATGCAATAATTCAGAGCAAGAGGTGTCAGTTATCAGACACTGTTAAATAAAATATTGCAAGAGTGCTAATGTTTTAAGCATGTTTTTAATTTTAAGTTTTTAAAAAATATTTGTGTTTGTGTCCTTTATAAAGTTTGTATCTCATTTATGTCAGATCTGGCCGTCATAACAAATGAGTTTGACACCCTTGTCCTAGAGCCTTGACAGGTCAGGAAAATGATACAGGGCAGCAGGCCTAAGCCCCCTGTTCCTATGTGCTGTGGCCCCAATCAATACTGGGTCTCCATGAGCCTGGCAGGGATGCCACCCTCCAGGTGGGACCTGGGGGATTCCCCCAGAATTACAGCTCCTCTCCAGACTAGAAAGATCAGTTCTTATGGGGAAAATGGATGCTTTGGAGGGTGGACTCTGTGGCATTGTATCCCACTGAGGCCCTTGTCTTTCACAGGCTCCATCCCCAAATCTCCAGGAGTTTCCCAGCTTGGATCTGGCCACCCTACCCCCATATCCCCCTCCGGTGGCCGGGGGGGACCTGGCAACCCAGCTTCCTGGGAATTAAGTTCTGAGCATGGAACTCATGGAATACCTCTATTGACAGGAGACGTGAAGGACATGAGGACTTTGTAATGTGTGACCTGGCCCCAAGTAAACCAGGAACAGAAATCGATTATGGAATACCTAAGCTCAAGTCTTCCAGTGTTGCACAGAAGATGCCGAGGTCTGGCGGAGTCAAGCCAAAGCTCTCCTCACTCGTATTTAGATCAGGATCACTTCTGCTCCTGGTAAGCGAAGGAGACCTCTACCCAAGATGTATGGGTGGAAGAAATCTTGGACAGGAGAAAAAAAAGGATTCAGTTACATCTGGTCTTTCCATTCACCATTTGCTATAAAGTACACCAAGATCCTCTCTCTCTCGGGACTGTCTGGAAAGTTTACATTGCTTCTGCTCCTAATGCTGCAGCTTGGCTCACATTCAGGTCTGACTTCTCACCAAGATCAGCAGATCCATGAGTTGTTTGGGAAAGGTTTCTATGCATGTGTGTATGATGGGTATTTTTTTACTGTGCTTCCGATAATTGGTTTTTAGATTGCATTTAGATGGTAAATTGTCTTTGTAACTTTTTTGTTGGCCATGGGAATATTTTTCGCCGAGGTGGCAGAAATAGGCTTTCAATGCATAAAATAAATCAGTGGAGTAGTTTGCAGAAATAATGACCACGGTGAGCTTTTGTAGACTGGCTATCGAGTACGCAGAATTACCTAATCTGTGTCATTAAGTTTATCGCAAATGACTATGACTAGCTGGATTTATCAGCGTGACACATCACGGCATTTTCTATGGGATCTGTGAAGATGAAATTGAGATGAAAGAAGATTCATGCCACATTTACAGATGCCCTTTATTCGTTTTTTATTTAATTTGCCACTCTTGGGAAGAAATCCATCAGTCTGTGAGCCATTATTAAGTATGGGCTTTCTTAAATTCATTTCTCTGCTATATCTCCAGGATTTCAGAAGTCGTTAAAGCAAGAAAATCTTGATGCAGAAAGAAAACATAGCTTTGGATGAACATTCGGGGAGGCTCTGATCTGGGATGCAAGTTTTCAAATCTTCTGTGACTTTAAGAATGCATAGGCCATTCAGTATAATATTAATATTGTATACTTCCTAAAATTTATAAGACTTGTGTACATTGTTGTAACTGATCTTGTGCTGGTCATGAACCGTATTAATAAATTTGATTTGATTTGAATCTTGCATTCAAAATTTTAGGTGTGAAACAGTATCTCCAAATACAAAATGTATGCTTTGAGAGCTGTTGGCATCACTTGATATATATAAAAATCCACAAGGCAAATCCTGGCAAATGGTGCTTTGAGGGCTCTTTTGAAGCGCCTCCTGTCTTGTTTTAATATTTTTGTTATCAGATACCGACGAGTTTGTATCCTATAGAGCAGTGATGGCGAACCTTTTAGAGACCGAGTGCCCAAACTGCGACCCAAAACCCACTTATTTATCCCAAAGTGCCAACACGGCAATTTAACCTGAATACTGAGGTTTTACTTTAGAAAAAAACAACTCAAACATTAACTTAAGATGATCCAAACAAAGTAAGGAAAGCAATCCCAAATGCTTTCATTTACTTAAAATTCTTTGGCAGAGAATTCGACACTTTAATGATGGTCTGGGCCCGGCTGGGGCGATGGCACACGTGCCCACAGAGAAGGCTCTGAGTGCCGCGATGGCACGCGTGCCCACAGAGAGGGCTCTGAGTGCCACCTCTGGCACCCGTGCCATAGGTTCGCCACCACTGCTATAGAGTCTCCCTCTTTGCCCTTGCGGCCAAAAAGATTAGATTCAGGGTCCTTTGCAGAAATAGAAGTGAAATGTTGTTCCCAAGTCCCAGGAGCAATACATGAGGAAGACCCTTACTGTCACAGAGAGCCCTCTGTCAACCATATTCCAAAAAGTCTGTAACTCAATGTTGTTAGTGGCTGAAATGAGGGTCTCCCAGTCATTACATAGGGCCAGCCACTTTTTCTGCTTTATCAGAATTCTAAACGCCCTCTTCGATGACATAAAAATATAATAAATAGATGTGTAAATTAATACAGTTAAATAGACAGAGTTTCTTTCTGATTGTCCTAATATGGTCTCTACACTCCTTGTGAAGCAAAGTGGCTGAGTTCAGACTGGCAGTTTGGCCCGATAAAGGCACATTTCACAAACGGATTAAAGGGGCCAGTTCACACAGCCGCAGCTGTCCAGCGTTCCCCAGCTGTACTCAACCCATCCTATGACGATTCCCTACCGTGTTAAAAAAGTACCAGGTGAAAGCGGTAGCAAACCCGGGAGAGCACGTTGATCCTGCTCCCCGGAAGTGTGCACGCCGCATTGCTGCGCCTATGCGCATAGGCGCATGTCGCTGGAGTAAAAAAAAGCCACTTACAGCCACACCTCCGCCAGGGGCGGGCCAACAGTGCAAATGCTCCCTTGCGCCTCCTCCCCGGTATGCTCCCACATCAGTAAGTACAGTGCGACCGGGAATCCACGCCACAACTTAGTCCGGGTCTTTTTGCCCCGCCTCCCTCGCGCTTTATACTGCCAGTCTGTCCTCAGCCAGTGTTTTTCCATTCAGATCTAGAGGGCCTTAGAGGTTTTGAGCAGACTGGCTTAAAGAGATCTTAAGATATTGGAAAATAATTCTGTCTTTCTTGCACTGTCCCTCTGGTTCAGGAATTCCGCTAGCATAAGATTGCATTCATTGGAATAAACAATATCCATTGCTACAGGGATTAATTTAGGTGACCATCTAATTGGCCTCAAAGCTTTCTCTCCTTGCATCAAATCAATTTGAGGTCCAATGTGGGGTTGTTTTTTTAAGAAAAGGGTTTCATATAAATGGTGGCTTGAGTGAATTATCGGCACTCACCAAATTACAACACTGTAAATTTGGAAGGTACGTCGTTAACGGTTGTAAAAATAGCTGTGTAGCCATGAGTTTGTTTTTCAGCCCATTGATTTCAAGTGGCCTTAGACTGCAGGAAGTCTGCACTGGATTGTAAATCTTATTGGCCCCCAAATCACAAGTAATAGATTCATCAAAAAAATTTCCTTTGGAAGTACAATACCTGTTTAGTTAAGAGCCAGATGGCTCCCATAAATGACTGTGCCAATGTTTCCCCTGAAATGAAAAATGCCATCATTCCTCTCACTGCGATGTCAGAGGCCAAATCAGACAATAATTATGGTTGGTCATTTGGCCCATGACATCATAATAAGGATTTGTTTGCTGTCAAAATACTAGAACTTGGGAAGCTTTTTGTGCCTTTGCAACAAGGAATTCCAGGAATAACTGGAATAAGCGGTTGTTTTCCACAGAGGGGTAGTTGAATAACTTCCCCAGGGTGGGGCTTCAGCGATTTGCAGAGCTTCTTGAAGCTTCCTTCTGTTGTGCTAGACTGACCACCGGTCCATGCGCCTCACTATTCTGGCTGGCAGTGTCTGTTCTAAGCCCTGTTACCTCAGATCCCTTTAAAATGTTTGGACTTAACCACCCTGAGGTCTTGTCCTGGAGTGGACGCAAAGCA